TTTTTTTTCTTTTTAAAAAAGGTTTCAAGTTCCCTGGCTTTGCCCTCTCCCTCCATCTATCCCCAGCAGATGAGCAGTCAGGGATTTTAAGTTGATTACTAAGGACTGCATGTAGTTGTAGGAAAATGCCAAAATGCTTAGACCTGGGATCTTGACCTGGGATCAGGTCACTTACCCTTTACCTCTTGTTTGGTCCTGAGATCTGTCCATATCTTTTAATGTTCACCCGTAATTCCATTACTATCCTTCATTTTTTATGTGCTTCATCTTGGTATAGATGTCATTGGCTCTGAGTTCAGAGCCATTTGATTGTTTATCAACATGGACCCTTGCTGAGTAGAAGGCTGGGCAGAGAAAAGAAGTCAAGAAAGAAGCACCAGTGTTGGAAAGAACTGGAACAGTATGAAGGAAGGGAGGGATCTTTTCGTCAACCTTCTCTTGCTCATCTTTTAAGAAATGGATGCAGGGTCAATTTGTAGCTGGTTAATTACCAGTAAAATCTGCATCTTGTGTATTTTGCTTTTACCTTCTCATTTTATACAGGCCTTTTTATCTCCAGGGTTTGTAAGTTTCTAACTCAAAGCTGAATCAAGATTTTAGGAATTAAAGGGCTACAATCCCAGAGCTTAGGCTTTTATATCTTAGTATCAAGAACAAGTTTAAGGCTGGATATGTAGCTCAATGGTAGAATGCTTGCCTACCATGCTCAAGGTCCTGGGTTCAGTCCTGAGCAACACACACTTGCGCACACACAGTATTTTTTGTTGTTGTTGTTGTTGTTGGTTGTGGGGCTTGAGCTCTGGGCTCGGGCGCTGTCCCTGTACTCTTCAGCTCAAGGCAAGTGCTCTATTGCTTGAGTTGTAGAGCCGCAGCGCCACCTCCAGTTTTCTGGTGGTTTATTGGAGATAAGAGTCTTACGGACTTTCCTGCCGGGTCTGGCTCTGAACCTCAATCCTCAGATCTCAGCCAACTAAGTAGCTAGGATTACAGGCGTGAGCCACCGGCACCCAGCTCACACACAAAGTAGTTTAGCTTTTAGCTGACATTTCAGTAACTACTAAGTGATTAAGCCTATTTGCTTCTAAAAAATTGATATGAGAGTTTCTTGCTGAAGTTGGGAGATAAGAATGGCCAGGTGGGGCTGGGAAGGTGGCACAGTGGTAGAGCTCTTGCCTTGCATGCTTGAGGCCCTGGGTTCGATTCCTCAGCACCACGTAAGCAAAAAACAAGCCGGAAGTGGTGCTGTGGCTCAA